AGAGAGAGGGGTCAGAGCGGGCGACACATCTGACCCGACATCAGACAGACAGAGAGAGAGACGGGTCAGAGCGGGCGACTCATCTAACCCGACATCAGACAGACAGACAGGTACTGACCCGCAGGAAGGAGTCCAGTGCCCCGTTCTCCATGTACTCGGTCAGAATCATCACGGGACAGGAAGCTGTGATCACTCCCTCCAGGTGAATGATGTTGGGATGGTGGAACTGACCCATGATTGACGCCTCAGACAGGAAGTCCCGCCTCTGCTTGTCTGTGTAGCCGCCCTTCAGGGTCTTAATGGCCACATAGTTCTCTTTCTTCCCGGGAACCTTGAGCCGGCCGCGACACACCTCACCGAACTCACCTGCACACACATCACATATGAAGACTATCAGATTCACACACACACAATAGCGTAACGTGAGCAGTGCTTTCATCAGGTATGTGTGGCCCATATTACTGCTGTTGACGCAGAAACACGAGCCCCGCGCCACACCTGTGCTCAACAATCACACACACGGTTCTCACCGGCACCGATCACCTCCTCGATCTTCACAAACGACACGTCGATCTCTTTAGCGAACTCCCTCACCGCCTCGTTCGGATCCTCGTATGTGAACGGATCGATGTACACTTTAACCCCTGTGAGAAACACACAATTAAACCACAACCACAACAAAACATCTGAACAATGTCTGAAACCGTATGAGCTTTTCTCAGGGTTATTTGTCTCTTTATGATGAACTGCTTGTTGTGTTCCTCATTTGTAAGTCGCTTTGGATAAAAAGCCTGATTAATGAATAAACGTAAATGCAAAACATGTTTGTTACTTAAAAAAAAAAAGTTAAAGGACATTAAGTAAAATATTTAAAAACTTATTTCAGCTAGTTGCCAAAGAAACATGTAATTTTCATTTAGTTTAAGTTGATGTATTAAATAACTAAAAATTAATAACTATTTAGATACAGAAAAAAAACAGTAACAACTTGTTTATAATTTAAAGACTCTTAACCGGTATCGTAAAAAAAAATGTATATATTTAAAATAGTTTTTATTAAGTTTTAATTTAAGTTATTTCAGTACTTCAACTTAAACTAAATGAAACTGTCTTGGTATACAGCTGAAATAAAAGGAATTTAAGTTTTTTTGTTATTTTTATACATATATTTTTTCAGTTAATGTTTATTTTATTCCATGTAATGACAATGTTTTTATGGTTTTCATTTTAGTTAGTTTTAGTTAACGATAATATCCCTGGTTTGAAGTGGTTTGGATTTTCAGGATGCACTGCAATACCAAATCTTGAGATAAACCTACAAACAGACTGATTTTAGTGGCCATTTAGTTCTGGCTGGCTTAGACTTAAGCAAGTTTTAGTCAATTTACTATTTGTCAATCATAAATAATATTTCATGATATAAAATTCAATTATTTACTTTATTTGTCAACTGAAAATAATATGCAAACTATTTATTTTATTTATTATAAGTATATATTATTGACCTTATGTTATCAGGTGAGTTTACTGACATTAATTCATATTTTTGAGTTTAGTCAAAATAATAATACAAACAGGTCATGTAAATGTCACCACATGAAGCACATTTTCTGTTGCTGACGAGCAATCCGCAGCAATGCATCAGGCCGTTGCCTGGCAACAGTAAACAACTAAACTCATGTTAACTCTAATAACATGTTTCTCTGGTGGCGTCACGATCGCTCATGTGTCTGCATCACTCTCACATGTAAACAACACAAACCAGCGGTGAGTGCTGACAGATTTACCGCGGTATAACACATTCCTAATCAGAGGACGTCACACTCACCCTGACCCATCAGGAACTGGCAGCTCTTATCCGGGTCCGGATACCGTGTGCGGCTGGAGCGCCTGAGACACACACACACACACACACACACACACACACACACACACACACACACGTGTTTAGATGGACAGACTGACTCTGTGTTTACGTGTGACTGGATTACACAGAGCTGTGTGTGTGTTTGTTTGACAGAATTCCTCTCTCATGACTCGTCTGAGTTTCTGTCTGTTGTGTGAGAGACCCTGCAGCTGTTCACTCTCTCTTTACGAGCCTCACACACACACACACACACACACACACACACACACTCGTGTCACATGACCTCGAGCGTCTGCGTGTGTGTGTGTATGTGTGTGCCAGATGTAGTTTGATAGCGATGTGTTGTTAGCAGCAGTGATGTCATCAGAAAACAGACTGGACAAATGATACCGTCTGTAGAAATTACATAAACCTGTCCGTTCTGAGGTAAAAATGACTGACATGTACAGTAAATAATATTTATTTATTTAAAAATAATATATATAAATTTTATTATTTCCTTTATTTGTATACATAATAGTATTTACTTTATTTGTCAACTAGTCTTACCTTTGACAAAAGAAAAAAAAGAACGTGTGTGTGTGAAGGGAACAGGATGTGTCCACCCAGTGCTGTCTCCAAACAGACTCTTACTGGAACAATGAATCTGACCCCCAGGAGCACACACACACACACACACACACACATACACACACACTGATACACAGACACACACTCACACACGTCTGGTTTGATATAAGGCAGTTTGTTTCTACATAGTGAGTGCACATAGTTCTTTTAAACAAAAAGGCCCAGGCCCCGCCCCCTCATTCAAGCACCAATCAGATCTCACCTGAAGCAGAACACGGCAACGATCACCACGGTGATGAGAATGAGCAGTCCTATAGTGACCAGCACACCAGTGAGCAACAGCCGCGATGGAGATTCTTCATCTGAGAGAGACGCACTGTTAGATTGATATGAGACGCGAGTGTGTGTGTATCAGTGTGTGTGTCTGTGTGTGTGAGTGTATCTGTGTGTGTGTGTGTGTGTGTGTGTGAGAGTGAGTGTGTGTGAGTGAGTGTGTGTGTGTGTGAGTGTACCGTCAGGTAGTGTGCTGATGTTGGCGGCGGGGCTGAAGTGTCCGTATCCCGCTGCGGTTCTGGCTCTGACCTGCACCTGGTACTGTGACGCACGGGTCAGATCGTTCAGAACCACCGAGTTGCTTTTACTGCTGATGTACTGCCATCCGTCATCCTGATCCTACAGCACACAGGTCAGGGGTCAGGCACAGGTGGAACACACACACACACACACACACACACACACACACACACACACACTTGTCTGTCTGTTTC